AGTCCATAATCGTCCACTAATATTACATTCATCACATAAATGTATGCTTATATAATATCTAATATTATATGCAATCACGTTTCAAGTTTCTAGCAATTAAGATTGTCTAAACTCTTTTAGACAAATGGATCGGAACAATTAAATAATTAATTAATCATATTAATCATTTATTAAATTAGCAGGCATATTTAATTAAAATCAAAATTTTAATTAAATACCGAATTAGAGTCCAACTCTAATTCAACAATTATAGGGCAGGATAATTTAATTAAAATCAAATTTTAATTAAATATCAAATTAGAGTCAAACTCTAATTTCAAAATTTAAGGCGGTTGAATTTAATTAAAATCAAATTTTAATTAAATATCAAATTAGAGTCAAACTATAATTCCAAAATTTAAGGCGGTTGAATTTAACTAAAATCAAATTTTAATTAAATAGCAAAATTAGAATCTAACTCTAAATCCGAGATATTAGGGTGAACTTATTTAATTTAAAATCACCAATTACCTTTCATTCTATAATGAAAACAAGGGTCATTAGATTTGGCATTGTCCTTTGCTTAGACTGTTTTAACCATATTGGATGCTTTCCCAAAGTCCCTCCAAATCTAATGATAAAAAATTTAGGGCAAGACAATTTAACTAAAATCAAATTTTAATTAAATGTCAAATTAGAATCCAATTCTAATTTCTAAAATATTTTCGGGCGAAAAATTAATTAAAAACAAATTTTAATTAAGTCCTAAATTAGAGTTGGACTCTAATATTTTAAACTTAGGATAACACTCCTAAATAAAATAAAATTCAATTGGGGTTAAAGTTTAATATTTAAGTTAAAATCTAATTTTAACGAAAATATAAAATGTCGTCAATTTTTAAGTAAGATTTTAAATCTGGGTCAAAATTAAAATTATGGGTCAAACCCATTTAAAATATTTTAAAACCTTTTTCAAAATTGCATTCAAACCCAGCTAAAATTTATAATCAGGCACCCTGCAATTTCTAAAATTGCAAGGCAGCCCTTCAATTAAAAATTACCAATTGACCCCAAATTGAAATTGCACATGAGGGCTTAAAATCTTGGAATTTTCAACTCAAGTCCCGTCTTCCTCAAACAACAGAAACCCTAAAATCTCACCCAATCAACGGTGCCTCTTCTCCCATTCATTTGACGGCACCAACGACTCCTTTACTTCCACCCTATGCCCCGCCCACTGCAACTCGGTGGCTTCAAGTCGCCGCTATCAAATAGCGGCGACATGACCCAGTTCGTCGCACCAAGAGGCAGCGCGCCGCACCAGTCGCGCTGTCCTCACAGACTGCAGCGGCGACTTTCGCCGCTGCAATACGCTGCTCCATTGCAGCGTTCGCGCTGAAGTCCCAGAGTGCAGCCGCCGCTGGAGCCTGCTCTGCCGAATAACGCGCGGCGATAGGCAGTGGTGGTTGCTGCCGCCAATCACCCCCACCGCCTGCAACGACCCCCACCCCCTTTTTTTTTTTTGTTAATAAATATTCCGACCCAAATTTTATCTTCTATTCAAAACAAAATTTTGAACATAAAATTAAATTTCTAATTGCTATATTCAAGAACAACATGTTAAATCAACTTTTGATTTCAACAATATGCAAATCAATTTCTAACAAACACAAAGTCGGCTCTGATACCACTGTTGGGAATCTACTTATACATGCACAGCGGAATTTAAAATA